GGGGCCTTTGAGGCTCCTCTGAGGCGATTTGGGGCCATCTGAGGCGATGGGGGGGGGGGGGGGCGCCCTCCTATAAGGAGGTAAGGGGATTTGGCACCCTGCGAGGGGATTGGGGGCACCTATGAGGTGGTAAGGGGTTTCCAGGAGGGGATTTGGGACCCTCCGAGGGGATTGGGGGCCCTTCTGAGGAGATAAGGGGCTCCTATGAGGGGATTTGGGACCTTCCGAGAGGATCGGGGACTCCTATGAGGAGATAAGGGTTGTCTATGAGGGGATTTGGGACCCTGCAAGGGGATTGAGGGATCCTGTGAGGAGACTTGTGTCCTTTCGTTGGGATTTGGGGCCATCTGAGGACATTTGGGGCTCATATGAGGATGTTTGGGGCTCTATAAGGGGGTTGGGGTCTCCTATGAGGAGACTTGGGGCCCTCTGAGAGTCTTAGGGTCTCCCATGAGGAGATTTGGGACTTTTCGTGGGGGTTGGGGGCTCCTGTGAGGAAATTTGGCATCTTTTGTGTGGATTTGGGCTCCAGGGAGGAGACTTGGGTCCCTCCGAGAGACTTTGGGGTTCCTATGAGGAGTTTGGGGACCTTTTCTGAGGATTTGGTGTTCCCGTGAGGAAATGTGGGACCCTCTGAGGGGATTGGGGGGTCTCTGAGGTGGGGGTTTGAGGTTTTTGAGGGGGGGCTGTGGGAAGAAATGAAGGTTTGGGGGAGGCTGTGGGGTGTTGGGGTGCAGTTGGGTGCATTCAGAGGCCCGCAATGGGTTTGGGGGTCCCTATGGGGGGCCTGTGGGGTCACTGAGAGACCCCAGAGACTTCACCCCACCTCCGCCTTTAACTGTGGACCCCAACTGCTGGAAAACCAGCAGGTTTTCTCCCCAAAATGAGCCAAACCCAGAGTTTTTAGCGTCTGCATCCCAGCTGGCAGCAGGTGGGGGAGGGAAAAAACACTCCTCCAACTCCCAAAACACCTTAATTTCCGCCTAAAACACCAACAGGTGTATTTTTGGGGGGAGCCTCACCCTGTCCCGCTCCCTAAACCCTGTGTGTCTATGTTTTCCCTGTAAAATACTCATTTTTGGGGTGTTTTAAACTTAGTTTTGATGCAGCTGAAGCTCAGGAATCCCCAGATCCCCTTCAACACCCTGCGGGGTCTTTGGGGTTTGCTGGGAATTTGGAGGGATCCCAGTGGGATTGTGGGGCTCCTCTCTTTCATTTTGGGGTGAAGTCACCCACTTTTGGGTGCTTTCTGGCAGCGCACTCCTAAAATTCAAGAAAAAGAAACACTTAGAAGTGATAACATTACACCACCTCCTCATCCCCAGCGCCAACTTTGTTGAAACACCAAAGATTTTGGGGCAAAACCCCACTCATTTAATTACCCCAGTGGTAACGACCCCAGGCCTGTTCCCCCAGTGAGCGGGAGGGTTCACCACATCTCCGTGCACTCACCAAAACACTGGGTTTTACCCCAAAATCACTATTTTTGCAAGGATTTTGGCGCAAACCCTGCTCCTCACCTGCCACTTGTTTGTTTTTTTTCTCTCCTTGAGCTTTAATTGTAATTAATTTCTGCTGTTGGTGGGCGGAGCTTGGTTATTTCTTAAAATAACCCAAATTTAGTGAAAATTCCTATTTTTTTGTTGCTTTTGGCTGCAGAGGAAATCGAGCAAAGCCAAGGAGAAGAAGCAAAAACGCCTGGAGGAGCGAGCGGCCATGGACGCCGTCTGTGCCAAGGTGGAAGCCGCCAACAAAGTGAGTCTCCCCTTCACCGAAAAAACGGGCTCAAAACCCCCAGAATCGGTAAAACCCCTCCACCGCCGCCGAGCGGATGGCTGGGAAGCGAAACTTCCCCGCTTTTTTTTTTTGCCGGGGTGCTGTTTGGTTTCTTCCAGCTTGAAGATCCCCTCGAAGCTTTCCCGGTTTTCAAGAAATACGATCGCAACGGGTGAGTTTTGCCCCACGCGGTGTCACCGCCACCGTTCTCCGGCAGCGTTGGCGGCGTATTCCCGGTGCTGACACCGTTTTCTGCGATATCTCCCGCAGTTTGAACGTGGCCATCGAGTGTAAACGCGTCTCCGGGCTGGAGCCGACCACCCTCGAGTGGGCTTTCGACCTCACCAAGGCCAACATGCAGACGCTGTGAGTGACGCGACGTGATGCGGCACCGCGACGCGGCACAACCGGCACGCCGAGCGGCCGGCACCGCACCGGGGGGGTGCTGCCGGGATCTGTGGGGAAACACTTGTTCCTCGTCACCCGAATTTGGGGGGATTTTGCACCTGAAATCGTGGGGATTTTTGCCCCCCTGAAACTGGGGGGGGGGGGGGGGGGGGTGCCCCCGGG